AAACTCTGTGAGCTTTTTCTAAAAAAACAAATTAAAAAGTGAGCTTTATTCTTTGTCTTGTAACAATATTTTTCTTCCAGATAGTGGATTTCTCTTTTGTGGGCTGTGGCCAGCTCAATGCTGAGTTTTCAAAGTTGAAAACTTCATTGAAATTATGAAATATTTTGCTTGTTCCCAATAATATATTGCAGTACAGCTAACCTGTCATTCAGATCACTTGTTTAGGTACTTCAGGGACTGCATAATTTATTTCTTCCCTGGAATTGTTCTCCCACATTTTCAATATCCTGGAGGCACCTGCACATCTCTGTAATTTCTGTTGCGGGCTATACCTTGGACTGTGAGATCCAACAACCCAATATATTCACAGGTAGGATTCTGCTAAACTGGCTTTTGAAAATATATTTACTGAGTCTTTTGTAATACAGTGGAGGTGCTTAGTTGTTCTGGTTGTCTTCTATGCTTACTTCTGCTGAAATTTAGATGATCTGAAAAATGGAAAGGGTGTTTGATAGTGACAAAGCCATGGAGAAGGGTTTGGGGACTATGGGTTAAGGTCCTCAAATCCAAACTGGTATTGTTTCATCTGCACTGTTCAAACAATTCTGAGACCTCCTGTGGTAATAAAGATGCTGCTTTTCATTTCTAAACTGTCTTTTTTTGGTGTGTGGGTATGGTTTTGTGTTTTTTTTTTTTTTTTATTTGGTTGGTTGTTTTTGTTTTTTTCTGTGGGCCATAAATTCCAGCCCAACTGTGCAGAAATCTATTTTCTAGCATAGGGAACATATTTAAAGTTGGATATCTGTTTAGGAGGAGTGGAAGGAAAAGTGGCTGTGCACATCCATCAACATCAGAAGCTGCTCAGGCAGGTGTGAAGTTGCCCACATAGCACCAAAGCTTTGTTCTCAGCTGAATGAAAAATACTTCCTGCAGTGGGATATGCCCTTAAACAAGATTTGCTTCATTCTGCTTCAGTGTGGGATGGTGGCTCCTGTCCTAACTGCAAGCCAGGGGCCTGGGTCCCAGGGAAGTTACAGCTGCATCAAGCTCTCTGGCAGCTTCTTTTGCAGTGGGGGGGATTTGGCCAAGTATTGACTGGGAGTGAGTTGGACACGATAGCTGTCATGTGTCCCCTAATTAATGGCCTGCTGGAAACCCTCTGCAGGGGCCTGTGTTCTCTTTTGAATTGCTCTGTGGGTGCTGTGCCTCTGAAAGACGTGTGTGACTTTCATTGGTTGGGGTAAATGTGAGCTAAAGCCAGGAAGAGTGCAAAGAGGTGAATTTTGGCCCATTCTGGGGAGGGGAGACATGACTGGAGGTGTATCTTACTCCCATGACTGTAGCTTTATATTGTATATTTTTTTGTGGCTGCCTTTTGTGTGACAGCACATTTCCAGGCAAAAGAGTCAGCCCTGGGAATATTGCAGCAGTTGGAGTTGACCTTTAGCTGAACAGGCACAGGAATGCACAACTGCATGATGATGTGTTTCTAGTATGTCTTTCACCATATAGGTAAATACCTAACCAATGCTCAGTAGGGCTTTCTGCTTGGAACAGAACTTTTGACATTAAAGAGCTATTTGGATGGCCTGAGCTTTTATTGTAGAAGAGAGGACAGGGCTGGGAGCAAGGAAAAGGCAGAGCTGTTTTAGTGGAGAAATGCCAGGGTTGTGATGGGACATTTTTGGACCAGGCCAAGTGGAAAAGATGTCAAATTCCTGTACCAGGGGATGGCACCACCAGCAGACAGTTAGAGGAGCTAGTTTATTCCTGTTCTGTTGTTTGGCTCCAAGGGCTAATCACTGACAGTTTTGCAATTTACCTGGGATCATTTAATTTAGTGTTATTTTTATCTCCCTGCAATGAAGCTTTTGAATAAATCTGTCTTTTACAATCAAGCCTGACACTGCTGAAATTATCCTCCTTGCTATCAGCTGTGCTGGTTGTATGTTCAGTGCCATGTGTGAATTGACTTAAAATCTGTTGGCATGCTAAAGTACACGAAAAATAATTGCTGTTGCTCACAGTTCAATTTCTCTGCCAGTTATGCAGTGAACTGTGGGAATGCCCTAAAGGCAGATGTGTTTATGTGGTTTTCCTTGTTGGCTATTTTGCCAGCTGTTGTGGGTGAAACACAGATCTCTAGCGGACAACTTGCCTGATGGTTTTCAAGCTAGCAGAAGTGCTGTTTTCTTTTAAACAGACTGTTTGAAGCTGGCTGCCTGCTCACTCATGTGTTTGGTCAGTACCTTTGCAGCTTGAAACCTGCTCTTAAGATGTTCTTGGTGCATTACAGCGGACATGTCAGTGGCCTCAGTAAGTGTTGAAGTTCAGAGGGATGCATTTCAATGACAAAAACTTTCCTACCGTGTTTGGTTTAAGGAAAACTGTACCACACTGAACATGCTGGTGTCTGTTGTCTAACTTGTTCCCATCTGCAGGCTTGAACCAAGATTGCAGGAGAGAGCTTTTGCCTTTCTTCTTGAATCCTGTTTTGTTTTCAACATACCTGCCTGTGGTGGTTTTTTTTTTATTGTTGATGAAAGAAAAGATGGCTGTGGGTTGCCATTAGCCCTAAGATTAGGGTAAGGATTTCATGGCTCTTGGCTAGGAACCCCTGAAAGCATTTAGAGGTCATATTTTTAAAAGTTCATTAACACTTGCAGTTGGGACTTTTCAGTGTTGTTTGTAAAAAAACAGCAATTGTGTGCAAATGGAGGACATTGTTTGCCTAATTGTTCTGATTTGGAAGTGCCTGTTCTTTTAGGAATCAGTAGGTATAGAAATCTGACATTTTGATGTGTTTGTAGATGCTTCTTTAATGTCAGCTGAAGAAGTGTCAGTGACCTTAACTTACACTTAATTGTTTTGTTTCTCTCTTTGAGAGTTGTACAAAATAATAAAACAACAGAAAGATTTTGTCTGCTGTTCCTGCGAGCTTTCATTTGTTTCAGTAACAGATTAAACATGTTACAAGATTCCACAGTTGTAATGCAATTGAACTATTTGCCCTTTGCTTCAGTAAAAGGATGTTTCTGGCAACAGGATCTAGTACACAATATCTGTGCCAAAATAGAATTTCACTGTTATATACTTAAAATTGAAGACGTTTTAATGATCTTAACTCTGTCTTTATGGTCCATATATAATTTTTTTTCTTTAATAAGGAAACATTTTGTTAAATCTTCATTAATCTTCTAAAAGTGTTTTGCTACAGTTCCCAACTTTCTATTATGTTCTTATTAACTTTATGTTCCTTAAAATTCTTAATCTTTAATTATAAAATGTAATTTTTGCTATAAAATGTGACTGCAATTCACTCTAGTCTATAGAAAAGCAGAAGCCTTGCAGTTCTAGCAGAATTGTATTTGCTTATGGCTTTGCTGGTGCATTTCTGTAAAAAGTGAAGTACATCAAACCTACCAGGGCTCTCACACAAAGAGGCACAGGATCTGTGGGATCTTTTGTATGTTCAACATAATGGAGCATACAAAGCAATTCCAAGATAGATCTTTCCAGCTACAAAACAGAGAAGTCAATCTTCTATTTGCATGTACTGTGTCTTTTCTGTCTCAAGAGATGGAAGTGGAATCATATGAGGGAGTTTCTTCTTGATTTACATTAGGGTCTTTCTTCTGTAATGAATTTACTGTTAACCCTTTATTGTTATGTAAATTGTTTACCCCAACTTTTAAGAAGTAAATTGAGCATTATTGCAATAAAATGCCTCTCTGTTCACTCCTCCAGAACTAGCATGGTTTTCACCCAGATAAAACTTGTCTTGTATGTAATTTTTCTTAGAGCCAGAGGATGCAAAAATTCTGCAATTGTTAAATAACTCAGTGAAAAATGGTCAAGCTCACATTACAGAGATGAAACAAAAAAATCACTTTGTGCTAGTCAAGAATACCCAGAGGCTTTTCCTTGTGCTGAGTTTTGTTATCCAATGCTCGTATTATGGATGACTTCCCCACATTGTGACTGATCTGTGCTCCAAAAGGGTATTCTTGGGTTTCAGGTGTCCAGATAATGAGCAGAGTTTGAACAGACAGGCAAACCAAACTGAAGGGTATTAATACATGAGTGCTGGCAAGCTGCCTAGGTTGACATCGGTAAACATGGTTGTGTAAGAGTTACAGAGCATGAAACTGTGCTGTATTTAAATGATCAAGAGGTTTAGCCCGAGTTCCTCGACTGCTGACAGGTACCTTGCACACAAGCATAAGCAAGTCCATCATAAAAATAATGGAAGAAACCAGGAAGATGATTCTCATCAGATTATTTCTGTAGAGTAGGGAAGGGGGCAGGGGATCCTGCAGTCTTTCTTGAGCTGTAAAGGGACAGATACTGAAGAGCTTTATTGAGCATGGCATTTTGGCGATTTTGCATTGGGCCTGTGAGACATAGCTTGCACAAATGGTTAAGACTGCTCCCTGTGCAAGTCTAAGGGATGTGGCTTTTATGTCTTTCCATTAAACTTGAGAGAACATTTGAAGTGTAACTGCATCAGTTATTTAGCTATGGAAAATAAATCAACCAAGTTTTGAAGAAGAAATTGATAGACACTTGTAGGGTGCTGCCTAGGCCTTTCCCCACAACGCTTATCAATGTTGCCAATGATATAACTATTGCTTTCATTATTTCAGATTTTATTTCAAAGTCGGGAGGGAATGATATCTAATATATTGTTAGCATGTGTGTACTCTGGCACCATTGATCTGCAACAGTAATTTTAAATAGACCTGTGTTTGAACACAATTTTAGTGGCTTTTTTTTTCCTTCAGTATCGGGCTGGCTTTTGCTTAATGCTTTGTTTTAAACGCTGTTCTGAAAGGGCCTTCTCTGAATGGAGATGCAGGATTTGAGGCTGCAAGACAGATGCAGACAATGATAGCAAGATAATAATAAAAAAGATAATGAATAAATTTTGATTACATTTAGTGTTTTACCCCTTAGCAGTTTGGTGCTCTGTAGGAACAAATAATAAAACTGGCAGCAGCATGGTGTGCCTACAGCAGAGACTTAAGACAGAAAACTATTCACAGGAGTTATTACTGAGTGTTGATGGTATTTTCCCATACAAAAAGCAAGCTTGCAATGGTTTCTGCACCTGCATGGAGTATCCTAGCAACATCACTGAGGAAACTGTACGCCAGGACTTTTCAGAGTACTTTTTGTTGAACATAGCAGCAGTTGTAAAACAAAGGTCAAGAGCAATTTAAGCTCTTAAAAGGGCTGTTGCTTAATTCATTTACTCAGATAAATGTTTGTGTTGCAGTTTTCTGCCTAAAGGATAAATATTGGGTTACAGAGTCATCCAACAGACTATCCAATTGAAGTTTAGTTAAACGTGAGTATCACTTAATCTGTCACTTCTTATGTGCCAGAAAATTACTGTTAACATTTACCTCTAGATTTTGCCTTGTGAGGTAACCAGGAGTCCCTGCTGCCTTCTGCCTGCTCTGGCAGCTGAGGATACCCAAGGGCTTTCTGTGCAACACAGAACAGGGAAGCACAGACCACCACCAGGCAGTGGTAACAGATCATTGGTCTAATTAAATAAAAAAGTAAAAAAAAAAAAAAAAAGAGAGAGAGAGCTTTTTTCTTGTCTGAGAAAGGTTTATGTGGTCATTGTCTTACTCTATGCACAGACCTCCAGTGAGTCCTTCTTCATGCTTTGTCATCAGCTTTCAGGGAAAATATTTATTTCAGGTTTTCCTATTGCATTTACTGGTACTGTATAAGAAGTACTTGCTGGGCTTGTTTTTACTGTCTGTGCCATCTTGCAAAGGGGAAAGGGCAGTGTTTATCTTTGTGTTCTATGGATGGGGGAGTTGAGGCCAAAGAGTAAGACCCTTTTCAGCCCCCTGGGCTGAGGCTGCAGAGTTACTAGGGGAGCTGGGCCATGCTCTTAGCCCCTCTGAGCTTCTGCTTTCCTCCTGCAGAACGGGGACAATGCTACTGTCTCTCACTGGGAGAAATGGTGCTGTAGCCTAAAAAATACATTCAGTTGCAACAAGTTTGTGCCCTCTGCCCAGTCTAGCAGATAATCTCTACTCCTAGAGCCTGGTTATAAAGTGCATTCTTACAATTTCTATGCAAATTTGTGTGCTCCCTGTTTATTAAACTAAACGATGGTTTAAGCTGTAATTTAATACCAAACAAACTAATGTGCTTAAGGTAACCTTCTGTTTCCTTCATTACAAAGGCACTTGAAAAATGCTAGAGCCATTTCCTTTCTCTGAGAAATATTTCTAAGTAATTTGCCAGAGAAAATCAGCAAGGATAAGGTGCTTGTTCTGAGGCAAGACAAGAAATTTAAGGTGAAAATCTGCCACAGCTAATAAGAAAAAATGAAACACTACTCCATACAAATAATTTTTTTTTTCTCCCTTCTCAACTTCAGGTGATGTGGCCCCTGTTCTCATGAATCCTCTCTCGCAGTCGCACTCCATTTCTCTGTCAGAAGAAATATGCCGTACCATATCAGAAATGAATGCAGACCATGTGATGGTCACACAGGAAATTTTAAAAGAGCAGTTAGTGAAAAATTATCCAGGTAATGTGTTTGTTTCTCCCTCCTTTCAAAAGTGACTGTGACATCAAGCTTGAGTTTCTGATATTGTGCAAGTGATCCCTGAATATTTACAAGCAAAGCTGGCAATATGAAAAAACAGAAATTAACAGGCAACTGGTGGAATACATGAATGTGCATACTGTCCTCACCAGTCTGTGTCACTAGCATTGTTTTGAAGTAATCCTTTTTACATATTTTAATAAATCTTCTTTGAGAATAAGAGAGGGAATTGAGTGCAGTAGCATGTTGAGAATATGCCCTTTCTGAGGGTGGGAAAGCATACATTAGGTATTTAGGTGCCAGATATGGAACAGCATAAAACAGACTGTGTGTCAGATCACAAAGACTTTGAATCGTCCTTTAAGAGACAGGAACATAGCTGCGAGTGTATTCCTTGCTGGAAGTTTTCATTGCTATGGGCAAGAGACCAGCGGAAATTAGACTAATGACTCTGGGACTGTGACACTTGAGGGGAAACCAGCAGCTGAGACCAGTCTCAGTGAGATAAACTTGGGTAACACCTGTCATCTGACAAAATTATACCAGAAGCTTCAGAGGGAGTGAGAAAAGCCACTTTAAATAACCTGCCAGGAGGGAAATGCTTTGAACAACACATTGTTTGGCTTGTACCTGGCAGGTCTCTCTCATGCTTGCTTATTTGAAGAACATCCTAAGCTCCACCACAGCAGTGCTGCAGTGACAACCAGAAACACAGCTGGCCTTTACCTTCTTCCTCAGGGGCGACCTTGCCTCATCAGTGAGGAGTGGTCTTTGGCAGCGTTAAAAGGGGTTTTACTGACCTGTAAAACAAAAACACATTGCAGGATTGCACCTAGCAGAACTCTCGGCTGGATGATGTTTCTGTGCTGCCCTCACCTGGCAGGCCCAAGAGGGCCCTCCCTAATTGCAGCCTGCGCTGAGTCCAAGATTTGGGGCAGCCCTTGCTGCCCTCCACGTGTGGACACCACTGCAGAGTGGGGCTCTCCCTGTTCTGCAGGGAGCCCAGGGCTGTGGTTGGGGACAGCTGGGTACAACAACAATTGCTGGCTCTGGAAGCTCAGTAGAGTGGCAACGTATTAAAAAAAAAAAATCCTTCCTCTTGTCTGGTGATACACTTCCATGTTGAAATTGAGTATGCCCTACTCAAACTTCAGTTGCCAGGTCAGTTTCAAACTTCTTTTGGCATACTGTGAACTAAATTCATTGGGTATTTCATGTTCAGTGACTTCCAGATCTGTTGTATGCAAGCTATTTTTTTGGCCAGCTCCCATTTTATTTGAAAACTTATTTCTTATTTGAAATATCTTTGTATCTTTGTTGTAGGCATTGCAGTTCCCTCCCACAATATCTTATATAATATCCTTGGTGCTCTAATTAAAGAAAGAAAAATCTGTCATACAGGAGAAGGATACTTCATTGTGACTCCCAACACAATATTTATAGCAAATGATGCCACAGAAGATACTAGCAGGGTCCCGTTGGAGGACAGTTGTTGCTGTTCACCATCTTCCATCACTTACCTGGTAAACATTGAGTGCTGTACAGACCTAGTGGGAGAAAACTTCCCTACAGTGTCTTGTTGCAGATCCTGCCATTGTTTCCCTGACCAGAATACGCTCTGTGAACAAAGACATCGGCAGCTAATGAGCTATGAACCTAATGGAAGAGGTAAGAAAGGTTGCAGTGATCCTACTCAAAGGATCTCTGCATCTGCTGAAAATCATTCCTGGGATACCATAAAATCCCTGACATCTGTGAAAGAGAAACTGAGAAGCAAACGGTTTGGCCTTGGCCTTTTCTGGAGAAATGCTTCGAAAAAAGAAAAACATAAGGAGAAGTATTCTACTTGTTCGGGCCAGTTTCCTCCCAAGGAGTGGCCAGTCAGGGATGAAGATGACTTAGACAACATTCCACGTCATATTGAACATGAAATCATCAAGCGTATTAACCCTGCTCTTACAGTTGATAATTTGATTAAGCACACAATACTAATGCAGAAGTTTGAGGAGCAGAAAAAATATGCTAGTAAGGGTATATTGGCTGAAGTTTCAACAGTGAGGCAAAACCATTTTTCAAAGGATTGTGTTCAAAAGACACAAAGTAGAACAGTAAAATACACCAGGAAAACCAAATCGAACAAAAAGAAGCAGATTTGCAAAAGCAACAGGAAATCTCATGTACATGAGCTAACATCCCAAAATGAGAAACCGGAAGAAAACCTTTCACTGCATATCAGAAACCGACAGCCATCTGACGGAGCAACGGAATCCCATGTCATATACAAAAAACAAATTAAGAACCCTTTTCAGGGGCTGTCATTGAGACACAACTTTTATGCGAAAGGGTACAAAGTTACTATTAACAGTCATCTGAAGTCCAGGACTCAAAAGCAAGAAAGGGCTTTACAGAGGCCAGGGTCCTCAGACGCCTCAAAAACCTTTGAATATGAAACTGAACAGCTGGCTACTGAAAAGCAGGCTGACAAAGCAAAGCAAAACAAACTACTCCAGGCTAAAAGGTCTTCTCTCCAACTAAAGAAAGGTAGTTTAAATGAAAACTTTAGTTATCCACATGGCAGTACTTTGCAAATAGATAATAAATGCAAATATTTTCTGGAGAACAGTATTTCTGAAGAAAACATCTACAGAAGAACAGTCAAAAAAAATCCTGGGGATATTAAAAAATCCCCTTATTTCTCCTACACTGGAGATGATGGTGTGTGCAAAGAAGATGCAAAATGGTCGTTAAATCTGAAAGGTGAGTATCACAGGTGCAAAGCTGACACTGTATGTGAGTTAATAGATCAAACAGCAAATGAATTTCAAAATGTCCGTCTTTCAAATTATACAGCCAATGTTAACCTGGTGAAAAAAATTCCTGTGAAATACAAACAAAACACTGACGAAAAGAGTGAACTTATATTTAAACATGACTGTGCCAACCATTCTGGATCAGTGAAGCTGGAAAGTGAAGGATTTACTGATACCTGCCAAAAAGCACATGATGGTGACACCTCTAACTCATTACATCTGGATGGCAATTTTGAATGCAACAAACCATGTCACCCACTGTCTGGCCATGCTTTTTCAGATACAAGAGACTGGAGTAAGGCTGTGCAAAAGCTGGGGACAGCTATGTCCCTAAAAAACTGTAAGGTTAATACTTATCCCACCCAGTACAGCACAACTGTAAATAAACTTGACTCTGGAGCGCATGGATATAAGGAAAGTGCTAGTTTTGCAGGATCAACAGATGGCTCAAAAGAGCATCCAAAACCAGATTTCACAGAAGGAAGTTGTTTGTGCAGTCAGGTTCTTCCAATAGGTCACAGAAAGGAAGAAAAAACTGGCCTTACTGAATGTGCGAAGGCTTCAGCTGCAGCAGATCTCTGCCCCACGAAGGCTGACTTGGATGCTGACACTTTGCAGAACTTCACCTATGAGATGGGCGAAGTAGTGTCATGCTGTGCTTGGGGCTCACAGATGAAAGAAATGAGAAACCCTCTGGGAAAAAAAGATCTGTTCTTTAAGAATGCATGTACTGTGATACCAGGCCAGAAACACTCAGAAGGGACAGAAAACCACAGCTTTACAGGAGACAGTGGAATCGACTCTCCAAAGTAAGAAAAGACATGTAACTATGTTTAAGGTTTTATCTTAACAATCAGATTTAGGCAGAAACGTTGCTGTAAATCATAATCCCCCTTCCCAAAAACAGAATTCTTATTATCTTTAAAAACTTTAGTGTTATGTCCTGGAAATACTCAAACTGTATAGTTGTACCATGTCTTTTTACATGAACATTCCCCCTAAATCGGCTATACAAATGCTGCTGTTTATATTTTGCATCTTTTTTCATGAAGCAAGAAAATAGTATGAGCTCTGCCTTGCAGATGGCAAACTGCAGAAATGTTAAGAAACATGGTGACTGATAAACTCCTGTTAGCAAGCAGGTTCAGCTCGCATTGATCTTGCCATATGACATTACAGATATTGTCATAGTTTCCCCAGTTGTAGATGAAGAACAAAAACTGCTTTATGAAGGTGTTCAATCAAAATTTAAAGTACAAAACACCATATGGCTTGCTCACAATAGACAAGAGAATGTGTACATTGCTTGAGCTTCTACTCCCTTTCATAGGGTACGTTTTGCCTGAAACTATACTTGAAAAATCCCTTAATGGAAAACACAGACATTGGTATGAAACAATTTTTTACAGTTGCATGTGGAGAAGACCTACAATACTGTAAACTACATTGGTGAGAACATAAGTTAAAATGCTGTGAGGGAAAAATCATACAAGAGGAGACATTTGCAACAAAATTCCTTGCTTCAGCTAGCTCTGGTCATGAATATTTGATTATTTTTTTTAATGAGCTTTGTAAACTTTCCCTTTGTAACAAGGTAACCATACTGTAAATGTAATCATTCTCACATCTGTGAGGCTGTCTCTAAATCAAAGCTGCTAGTTAAAACTTTTGAGTGTAGTATTTGGAGAGCTAGTGTGTAGTTCTGTTGCTCTCATCTGTATTTTTTTCGTCCCTGTGATAATAAAAATGAGAACTGATATACTTCATTCAGATCACACCATTAACCTGGAAACAGTACATGTTGCTCTAATAGGAACTGTATCAGTGGGACAGGATTGTTTTGCACTGTAAGTCTTGCAACTGTTTCCTACTTGTACCACAGAAATAACAGCACGGTCTATCTCCCCTGTCAGCAAACAAAGCAAATGAACTAGATTGGCATGCACCTTGTTACTACAAAAATCTCTTGAATCCCAGAGTTCTCTCACCATATCCTGAAGAAATCTCAGCTCTCCTCCTGAATCTAGTTGATGTCTTTGTATCTGGTATGCAGGATTTAGTCTTTGCAAATGACAATTTGGTGCTGGAGACAATATGTAAGGTCAGTGGCATTGCTTTGAGAGAAATCCTGCTGCGGGCCGGCATGCTCCTGCTCTGCTCCTGACAGCCCCTTTCCTTCTCTTAAGGAATCGACGTCTTGTCAGCTGTCAGGATCACATTACAGCTTTTAGTTCAGAAGACTCATTTTGATTTCTTAATCCTGATTTCTTCCTGTAGCTAAAAGCAGACTGTGCTGGTTCTGAATCAAGGAGATTAACAGTTCCACGCTGCTAATCACCAAAGGGTTGTGGTCCTTTTAAATCTTAAGAGAGGCACTTGGTCTTACTGTTACTGACCACGTTAGGCTCTTTCACTAGTGAAAACTTGTCTCCAATTGTAGAAGGCTAAAGCTGTAGTTACCAGTTTTAAAAGCTATTAGAAGTTTCTTTCAGGGAAGGTGTCTCTGGCTGTGAACAAGGGGAAGAAACAGCGTTTGTGCTTGGGCTGAGCAGAGCCCCGCAGCGCTCTCTCCCGTCCACCTCAGCCACGCCGGTACAGGGATTTCCCCTCAGGCCTCTCCACAACCCCTGCGCCCTCAGCGCCTCACGCTGCCCCCGCCTGCCAGCCGCTTTTCCGCTTCCTTAAACACCCCTCCCAGGGGCTCACACACGCAATGGCG